GGGGGGGGTATATCAAAACCGCGAGCGAAAAAGAAAACATAATCAAACACATGCCCCGATGCCCTGATGCACCCATCCTTTGAACCACAAGCCCGGAGAGAGAGAGAGCAAAAGAACTGAACCCCAGGGCCAGACACGTCATGCCCGACGACATACGTTCCATAGCCCTACACATCCATCCCGTACAGACTAGCGTCAAGCTGCACCGGCTTGTCAAAGTCCACGTGCACATCATCCCAGTCCGGGTACTGCTCAATCGAGATGGACTCGCCAAACATGCTTGCGTCGAACTGCATCCCGCCGTCTTGCAGCGTTTCAAGCCCGTCCATGTTAATCTTGTCGATATCCATAAGCAGCTCCGCGTCCATGCTCTGCCAGTTTATGTCAATGTCGAGGCCGGCATTTTCCGATATTTCGCTGTTGGGCTCCGACAGCCCGCTGTCCTTGCTCGACTCGGGCGTGTCGTTTGGTGTCAGCGCCCGGTAGACACTCATGTTGGTCATGGCCCCGTTCATGCCGAAATCAAAGGTACCAAACTTCTGGAACAGCGTCGACGGGTCCACCGTGTTGGCCCAGGGGTCCATCGTCGCCTGGGGCACGGCGCCAGATGCCACAGCTTCGCCCGCCTTGTCGGCCCCGGCCTTCGCATTGGCTCCCTTGACGGCCAGTTTGCCGCCAACCTTGCTGGCCGTCCGCTGCATCGAGACGTCACGAGACATGGGCGTCGCCGCCGTACTGACTGGCGTCAGTCCCTGCTTGATCGGAACTGCGCCCGCCGCCTGCGCGTCAGCGACGATCCGCCCGTTCGAGTCGAGGCCAAGGTAATCAGCAAGGTTCTCTTGCATGAACTTGATGGGGTCCTCGAGCGGCTTGACGTGCTCCTCCTGAATGTGCGCCTGTCGAGCCTGTTCCGAAGGGAAGCCAGTGCTGGCCATTTCACAGTCGGGCTCGCTGCACAGGAAGGCCGGCTTGGGGGGCGCAGGAGGCGGTGCTTTAACCTCAGGTTGCCGCTTGACCTCTGGGGACGACGTCTTGCTGATTTGCGGGGACGGCGTGGCCTGTGATGGGTTGGGAGGCGTCGGATGCTCGGTCCCCGTCTTTGTCTTCTTCCGAGGAGGCAGCTGCAGGTTGTCTCGGTTGACCGTGGGCTTGCCCACGTAGGCTGGCTGTCCATGTGGCGATTGGGCACCAAGCTGGAACGGCGGCTGGCTCGTTGTAGGTGCGGCTGGCGCCTGGCCACTCTTGCTGTTGGATCGATTGTGCATCTTGTTCAGAGCTTGCGTCTGCTTCTCCAAGTTGGCCGCACTCAACGGCGCAGGCGGGTTGCCGCCGGTCTGTCCTTGGGGCGGCGCGCCTGCGGGCGCCCGCTTGTTGCTAATGTCCTTGACCATACTCTCCAACAGCTTCACCACGTCGTCGAGCTCGGACTGGCGAAGGCTGAATGTGTCTTTTGGCCTTTGCATCTGGTCGCCATCTTCAAACTGCCTGATAAGGCGCAGTCGCTTCGAATTGGTTAGCATCTGTCAATGCATAAAGAAAGGAGGCGCGTGGCACTCACCATGCTGAAATACTTGCGAGCTCTCGTCTCATCTCGTGTGTGCGCAAACCACTTGCCGAGAACCTTGCCAACCCGGCCCATATGACCCATGGTCGACTGGAGCTTGGACAGAGTCTGCTGTCTCTCCTCGGCTGACATGGGAATGTCGGCCATGACATCTTGAGCCGCGCTTCTTTGCTCTTCCTGGCCGATCTGCTTGAGACGCTCAAACCAGACGTTCTCTTGTGACTGCGACTGGGCTCTCCTGAGCTGCTCCAGCTTTGCCCTTTGCTCCGGTGTCATGGAGGCCAACTGCTCTGCAGTGAACTGTGGCATCTTCACCGGCATCTGCTGGCGCTGGGGACCGGGTGCCTGAGTTGGCTGTTGGGCGGTCGCAGGGGCCGCATCGGCCGTATCGTCAGGGCTGGGTCGCTTGAGGTTCTTTCGCGCCGCCGCAGGGGACGGGGTTGGCTGTTGAGCAGCCTTGTTCGGACCAGCTCGGTTTGCGTTGGGAGCATTAGCGGCTCGAGCCGCAGCGCTGGCAGGTGCCTTCGACTCGGCTGCAGCATTCTGCTGCCGTTGCTGTGCGGCCTGCGCGGCCTGCACATTCTGAGGCTGTGTTGTGGTTGCAGGAACACCTGGTCCCTGCATACCCTGGCCGGGCTGCTGCTGTGGTCCGGGACCAGGCATACCTGGGGTCGAGCGTGAAGCCACCATGGCATTCTGCTGTTGCTGCTGGCGCAACACCATCTCCTGGTGTTGTCGCTGGCGCTGAGTAATGATGAATCTCCGAATCTGTTCGGAATGGCAACTTCGCCGCCTTGGGCTGCTTGTCTCGGATCTCCTTGATGTGCTCAGGCGTAACATGCATCAGGTTTGGAGGAAAATTCATCATATTAGGCATGCCAGGCCTCTGGTTCGGCGGCATGACCTGATTGGGGCCAGCACCTGGTGGCATGCCGCCCTGCTGCTGGGGTGGTTGTTGCTGAGGGGAGTTGAGGCTGCTGCATCATCGGCGGCTGCTGTTGCAATTGCTGTTGTTGCTGCTGCATTAGCTGCTGTTGCTGTTGCTGCTGTTGCTGCTGTTGCTGCTGCTGCTGCTGTTGCTGCTGCTGCTGCTGCTGCTGCTGATGTTGCTGCTGCTGCTGCGCCTGGAGCGTCCTACGCTCCATTTGCTTCTGCATATGGCCTGCGAATTGCTGACGCTGGTACTTCTCCACCTGCTCCATCGTCTGCTGAGGAACTTGGTTCTGTGCCATCCAGGCCTTGAGCTCCCGCCACTTGCGCACCTCGGGGTTGAGACGGAACTGATTAGTAAAGCCCATGAGCACCTGCGGCGGTACATCCATGCCGTCCATGGCGTTCTGTTGTTGGGGAGTGATGGGCTGGTTCTGACGGACGCGCGCGAGCATCGCTTGTTGCGCAGCAAGCATCTGGGCGCTGCCTGGGCCACCGCCCGGGGTCTGTTGCCCACCGCCGTTGGGCATACCCATCCCATTGACACCATTCTGCTGGTTGAACTGACCGGGTTGCCCAGGCCGGTTTTGCATCTGACCAGGGGCCTTGCCAGCTTGCGCCATGGCCTGTAGCTGCTGCTTTTGTCGCTGCTCTTGCCACCTGTTCATAGTCTCACTCAGCTGCTGTTGTGGCATTCCAATCAGCTTTTGGCGTTGTTCCGCTGACATGCTTGCCAAAAAGTGCGTCATCATGTTCGCAGCGGGGCCCGTCGGTCGTGGATTGCCTTGGTTGAAGCGCGGGTCGAGGGTGCCCGTGAAAGGGCCGTTTCCTTGGGG